GTTGGGGTAGCCGTAGTGCAGCTGGTCAGCGCAGGTCTCCAGGCAGGCCCGCAGGAAGCTGTAGGGCCTGGGGAGAGAGCACTGGGGCACTGAGAGGGGACGGAGGCGTGCGAGGGCACGGACCCTCCCATCAGCCCGTGACCCCTCAGCCCAGCAGCACTCCCCAGCCTGCCGGGGGCTTGTCTGGCACCCCACTGCCTGCACCAGCTAGCGCCATGCAGGCATAAGCTGCCAGAGGGGAAGGTGGGCCCTGGGTCCCTTGCACCAGGAGCTGGAGGCCTGTCAGCACATCCCAGGGGCTCTGCCTTCATCAAACACTTGCTGCTGTATCCCTCCTGAGAGTGGGGACAGAGGTCCCTGAGCCCCCCATGCCCCTGCAGTGCTGCCTGGGAGGGCTCCGCCCATCCCACCACCCCATACCTGCTGATGACTTTCCACTCGCACAGCTCCGACACTGTCACGTTCCTCATCAGCTCAACGAAGAACTCCCAGCACTTCTGTGTGCTGTTGGTGTACGCCTCCTCTGCAAGGGAATGGTGCTGGGCGTGGGCAGCACGCCCCTGCCAGAGCCTGTCCCTGCTCGTGGCTGCAGGTTGGTGATGCCCAGCACCCGGACCCGTGCCTAGGCCCGTGGGGAGGACGTGGGCACAGTGAGGAGCCGGACCCCGCAGCGTGCCACCGTGATGCCTGCAGCATGGCAGGAGTGCAGGCTATTGCTAGCTGTCCCTACTGTGGCCAGCACCATGGAGGGCTCTATGGCACAGCTCCACTATTTTGGGGATGGACAGAGAGCATGTGGCAAGGGGAAAATGGGGGCCAGAGCTGGTGGTGCAGAGCTGGCCCCGGCCAGGGCACCGTCAGCCTCACAGCGCCGCCCAGCCCTCGCCAAGCCATGGCACTCACCCACGATCTGGGCCGTCCAGTTGAACAGAGCTATGGATGGGCTCGTCCTGGCATCCTGGGCAAAACCCTCTGCCTTGGAGTCCACTTGGCATAGCCCAGTCTCCAGGAGCGCTGTGGAGGGGAGGGGACAGGATCAGCAGCGTCTGGCACTGGCAGGGCTGGGGCATTCAGTCCCTCGTGCAGGCAGAGGCTGTGGGGCGGGGGCCAGCTAGGCAGCTAGGCTGTGGGCAGCTGTCCAGGGGCTCGGAGGGGCTGTTGAGGGCCTGTGGGGTCTGAGCTGTGCCCCCCACCCGCGGTGAGTCAGAGCAGGGGCCACCCTATGTCTCCGGGTGGTTCCATTGCTGCCAGACAGGGCTGGGGCAGGAAGAGGAAGCGCTG